CAATCACAGGCAGTTAATGGGGAATATTTTTAAAGAATTTTTTTCTTTCCATTTTTAAAACTTAAAATGTTTCCTGTTGATAGTTTTCAAGAAATATTATGTCTGAAAAATCGAAACCTGGGTAGTTTTAACAGCAGTGTACAACAAAGTGCTTAAATAAAAGAGAACTTTGGAGTGTTTGCAAAATTTCGTGCTTGGCACCTGAGGATGTGGGTATTTTCCAACAAATGTAGGAATTATTTTTTCAAAATTCGATTTTTTATTTTTTTTTGAAGCTTTTGTGGGAGACCTGAATTTAAAAAACACACACACAAACAAACAAAAAACTGAACAACTTTTGTAACTCAAATGAAATTTAACCAGAGGTCAGCGACAGGGCAAAACCACACAGTGCTCATCACCAAGATGCACTGATGCTAAGTGCTGCGGTGGGGAGGATGTTTCATCTGGCCAAGGTTTTACAGCATGGTAAAGTCATTATGAAGATTCATTCCACTGAAAGCGAAGGAGTTGAGGATGTCCATCTATCTCAGTTCCTTTTCTTTTCTGAAGTCTGTCCCAGTATTAAAGTTTCACATTCTTGTTTCCTGCTATCTGCTAAGGACAGGCTTCTACATACTCTTAGAAAGCATTTTGTTTTCTGTTTTGTACAGTGGACTACATATCCACTTACCATGGATGGTGGTCAAACTGCCATAATTCCAATCATCGTTCGTTTTCAGTCTCTCAAGCATCTTCAGTGTCTTCTGGTTTTATCATCCTGCCTGCAAATTCCAATCTGACATGTGATCCTGTAAATGGTTAGAAGTACAAACAGAGGAACTAGCATTTGGGTAGAAAAGCATGACTTCCTTTGAGGAGGAGTTCTGTTCTAGTTAATGTTAGATTATGACATTTCTGCACTGTTGGGCTGTCTGTTTATTTTTGGTTTGGGTTTCCTAAGGCTATTGACTGCTTCAAAAGCAATTAACGCTGAGGTTAGACATTTGTCATTAATCACATAAATTTATAAATAAAAATACTTATTGGATGCCTGAGAAAAAAAAAATTATTAAATAAGACCTTAATTAGATGAAGAGGAAGTGCATGTTGCTGAATATGATATGTCTGTGAGAATGATGGTTTGAAAAAAGCCTTTGAGGGCATCTAAAATGTGGTTTAATGTAGGATCCAGTTTGGCTCTTAAGTACTTGGTCAGCAAAAATTTGGGGAATGTTCTTGTCATGAATTTTATATAGAAAGCCAGACTGGATGACTGTAATTGTTCTTTTTGTGCCTGAAATCTCTAAATCTGCCTGAGAAGTCTAAATGATTTTGTAAAGCCTTGCAAATGCAACTTGAATGTAACCGAGTGGTTGAGTAGATCAAGGGGAAATAAAATGTACTGTTTGCTGCCTGAGCTGTGTAAACTTGGATCTGGCAGTACATGGACAGGCCAAAACACCTCTTGGGTTTGTTTATTCTTCTTGTGTCTTTCTATTGTGCAGGAGCAATGTAAACCTTGCAGGTCTCTGTACACAGAAAAAAAGAAATTGCCCAAAGAGCATTAGCTCCCTTCCTTTTTAGAGTCATTCTACAACTCATATTACTAGGAAAACTTATTTAGGGCTGTAAATTCCCATAAACCGGACAGCTAGTTTTCTAGGAAAGTGTAGTTGGGAGCTGCTCTTCCTTATAGGCAGGTGCTGAGGGTTGCTGGTGCATTTGGGAGTTTGTTGGTGTAGCATGTGAAGATAATTGATTATTAATTATTAAGCATTTGTGCATGGAAACAAAATGGAAAGCTGAATGTAAAGCTCAAAGCCAACATTCTAAGCATACCTGACAAATATGGATACAAAATTACAGCTGTTAGTATTGATCAAAATCATAACTAGACAAATGGAGGTTCATTATCATGGAAGAGATACTATAGATCCCATAGCACACAAACTTATCAGGATGGATAATTTATCTAGGAGAGTCGTGGTCAGGTGGCAGAAAACCGTGCCAGCTGGATGAGGATCAACCAAGCACTTAGAACATTTCAGGTTTCTCTTAGCTGTGTGTATCTCATTCCACTCACCGCTCTAAAGAAATGGAATGAAACCACAAACACAAAATTCATCTTCCTTTATTCTGTGAGCTTTTTGAGTTTTTATTTTTTATTTTGTACCTGTTAGACTTACTTAGATTGACTGCAAATTTTCTGTTTTTTTTTTCCTTCTTTGGCTTCTTTTTTTGTTGGCACAGAAGACAATATAATATTTCTTTTATTAAAGAAAGAAGCAACCAAACAAAACCTACCAACCAGACAGAAAAAAAAAAACAACCAACCTTGCTCAGTTAGAAATGAAAGATTTCTGTCTTAGAATGCATGATATTTTCAGTTATGGCATCAGAAGATCTTCATGAAAGTAAAATTCATTAGAACTTTTTGTAGGAATGGGGTTTTTTGGAGTCTCAGTGAGTGCGTAGCAGCAGGACAGCTTATGGCAATGCTGCTTCAGCTCATGTAAGATCAAAGGATCCAGGAATCCGGGAAAAGGCATCCCCTGCAAATCTGTATGGTGTCTGTAGACATCACTCTGCTCGGTTCATTCTGAAATCTGGCAGAGTTTCAAATGGACTCTTCCTGGAGAACCATCAGCATAAGGTTATAATAGCTGCACACTTCAGCTTTTACCTTTATTAGGAAATTGTATCATGAATAAATATGAATGCTGGCTAAAATGGTACTGGCTATAATGCAGACGTAGCTAATACAGACATGGAAGAAGTACTTTCAACATCATTTATGATAATTAAGCACTGAATCTTGTTTGAGGAAGGTGTGAGTATTGCTCGCCAATTCAGAGTAAAAATAGTGATTAATTATATTTTCCTTATGCAAATCTGTCTCTGTCCAGCACTGGTTGCTGTCTGGATAGAGGTATAGGAGAGGAGGAAGTTAGCTTCTAGGCATGTTTTTATGCATTTATTTGTTTTTAAAAGGAGATGAAGCGGCCTGGAGTTTTACACAGTTTTCATTTTTTGTCATATTGGTGTGGAGCAACTGCTGGATGTAGGCAGAAACCTCAAGTGGAATGAGCTGTTAAATCATAAGGGGGCAATAGTTAAAAAACACTCAAGAAAACAGGAATAACATAGGATCACTCAATGAAAATCAACAGCAAACACTTTGAGCATATTTATCATCTAAATAAAAGATTTGAGCTGGGAATTGCTTTTAAAATACCTGATGTCTGCGTAGCACAGGGAGAGGGGAGCAGCTGGGCAGACAGCACAGTTAAATAAGCTTTAGGAACCAATGGATCCATTCTATGGTAAATTACAGTTTTCTTTTTTTTTTTTTGTAACCCAGGTTAAAAGTACTGGGAAAGTACTGGGGAACAGTCCAATGCTGCCCTCTGAGATGGCTTTGAAACCCCAGAAGTCACGTCTGTGTTTGCATGGGCATCCATTGAGAGGTCTGTTTGCTGCTTGTGGTTAATGGGGCCAAACAGCAGCAGGTGAAAGCACTCTGCGTGGTTCCTCACTGCCTCCAGATCCCTTTGGCTGAGGGAGAATTGACTCCAGCCCAGGTGAACCTGCCAGACAAATAGCAGAAGGTGAAGTGCAGCGGAAGCATCGCGTCTTGGATCCCAGCACAGGGCTGAAGCCTGCTGACATCCTGAGCAGCATGAGAAGTCACTGCCTGGGAGCTGGGGGAGGCCAAGGGGGTTGAATTCAGGAGAGAAAAAAGGTGAATTCTGCACCATCAGCTTTGTGTTTTCAAAATTGTTGCTTTGTTCATCATTGCTGATGGAAAAGAATCAACAATTCAACGCTTTAAAAAAGGGACACCAGACTGTTTTCAGTGTGTTTACACTTGGATTTGCTGCATGTAACTGAATTCCTTATATGTGGATGATTAGTTTGTGTGTTTCCTGTTTCCCCTTGCCCTTAACATGACTTTCACTTTGAATCTGCAGGCATCCCTTTTCCTGTGCTCACCCAGAGAACGCAGGAAAATAAAATCAGCGTGGAGTGTGCTGAAGAAAAATATCCAGGTCAGGTGGATTAGAAAGAGATCCGGTACCAAATACACGGGGACCAGGTGTTGTTTTTTCAATGCTCTGTGCTCATTGCAAGAAAATCCACCCCATAAACATTGAACAATAGAGGGAAGGCAGAAGGGTCCGGGGAGGGATGGTGGTAAGCGAGGCAATGCTGTATCTTTAATTTTCTTTTCTGAAGGAAGAAAGTCTGCATAGCAATGACAGGAGCACTTGTTCATGCCTTTAATGTGTGATCTGTTTTCTCCAGTGGAGGGCACTCAGTGTATCACAAACTAGAACATTAGCACCAACAAGCTCCAAAGCATCATCACTCTCTGGAAAGCCTTCTGAATTAGACAGGAGCTGCCTCTCAGCACAGCTACAAAACACTTTAAACCTGACCAGCTAAATGGATAAAGCTATCCTGCACAGTCTTTAACTGGGGGGTTACACGGCACGGGAGGCCTGCCTGCTTCAGGAGCTGGGAGCTGGAGATGGATTGCTGTGTCTGGGAATGGCAAAAGGCAGCAGAATGAGAGATGCTAGGTACCGGCAAAGCTTTTTTTTTCTTTTCTTTTTTTTTTTCTTCTCGTTTCTCCCAGAGAAGTTGCTTTACCTTCGCGGTGTGCTGTAGCTTTTCCTTGCAGATTGCCACTTAATGCTGATGGTTCTCTGATGACTTACACAATGGCTCTCAGAGCTTAGAGTCCCTCCCTACCCCCCCCGCCCCCCCCACCTCTTACAGACTCCCCCCCATCCCTCGTCCTGTCTTCCCCACCCCCAGCCCCTTCCCTCTCCCTTTCCTTCCTCATCCCCAAAATTCTTGCTTGTCCTCTCTAGGGAACTTTGTGTGGGGCTCTGGCATGCACGCTGGATGGCGGTGATGCGAGCGGCAGCCGTGCTGTGACATGAAGATTTTTATGGTTTAAGGAAAAGAGCAGTTTTAAAAAGAAGAGAGAGGCAAAGGGGAAAAAGGCAAAAAGGGGAAGAGAGAGCGAAGAAAACAGCTGGCGAGAGGAAGAGGAGGACGTTTGTTGGTGACAAAAGGATGGGTAAGTGAACTTTTCTTGCTTGTTTGTCAGCACAGCTGCAGCTGTGTGGCATATTTTTTGTTCAGTTGGATTATTAGCTGTTCGGGAGGGGAAAACAGCCTAACCAGCAGCGCATTCCTGTGCCAGGTGACTCATTGTACTTATTGCTATTGTATTTTTAGATCATGCATTCACCCCCCCACACCCTCCCACCAAACGCACACACCTTTCCTCCTGCAGTGGTTTCATATGTAATTAATGTGTGCATGCATGCATGGGGTGAAGGGCTGTATGTTCCTGCCTGTCCAACCACCCACACACCTGCACACATGATGCACAGAGGTACATGCATGCATGAGGCAGCCCGCACCACATCTCTTCTGGGTTTCTATTCCTATTCCATGAGCCTGTAGTGGCATTATTCGGGCTGTCAGAACGGACTGTTAACACTTTGTGGTTAGGAGGGAAGCCAAAGGGAAGGGGTTGATTTGGTTCTATAGGTGGTTCTGAAAAGATGCGCCCTAATACTGCTGCTAGTTTTCCAGCAGTCATTTGCCAGTCTTATTTTTTCAAGTGTGACAGGTTTATTTCCCTCCCTCCTACCCGCGGCCCCGGGGCCCTGCCAGAACCACCCCCCCCAACCCCCAAGTCTGTAACAGCAAGAACATATTTCTAGCTGGCTGCTGCTGACACATAGGCAGTAGCAAAAAAATGAGAATTTAAATTAAAAATCTAACCTTAAAGTGAAAAGCAGAGATGCATAGTCAGGGGCGTGTTAGACGAGGAATTATTTTGTAGATTGCCCCCTTGGTTTAAAAGCAGATGAAATAACTGCAACACAAGGGTGGTTTTCTGTATATGACAAATAATGAGGTGATTATTTATCAAGGAGATACTGGCCCTTGGAATATTTCCTACTGGAAGAATGTATCTTAATTCCTAGTAAGATTGCAACTCTGGACACAGAGGCATCAGTCCTAAAATCACTGCAGGCTGAGGAGAGCGTGCGTATGTGCTGGGGACTCTGACAGCCCCCTGCAGCCCCTTCCATAATTATTCAGAGAATGTAGAAAATAGCACTGTGGCCATGCAATGATATCTGCTCTACAGGAGAATTTTGACATCTGAAACGCAGAATCTTAATATGAGCAGGGCTGGGGAAAAGAGACGGCAGCTACAGTACAGAAATTCCCCCTTAAACTTTGGGTGTATTGCTGCTCTAAAGGCAGTGTTTATATGTAAGTATTTCTGTGTATATTTTCACAGAGGATATGCAATGAATGTATACCAAAAATAGGAAGTGCTTAGGTATTCACCCCTCCATGTAGATAACTTTAAGGCAGTAAGTGTTAAGGCAGTGACTCATTTTAAATAAATGTCTCCTAACATTACCTTGTTACTCAGGTCCAATGCTAGCGTTTTATAGTAATACTTCCCAATATGATTGAACTTTGTTTCTGTGCATTTCTATGCATTTAAGGTACATGGAAATTAATGAACAAGTGAAACCTACTCTCAAATATAATTACTAAGTGTAAAAAGTAAAGCCTACAGTTTTTAGTTTTACAACAAATGGGTGCATTAAAGACGGATCAAACTTTATGATAAGTAGATTCCTCACTTTTTGGGAGAACTGAACTTGCAATTGCTTTTATCAGGGAACATATTTAGCACCATGTAAATGCCAGAAGCTTTGCCTCATTTCCTTCCCAGCACTATGGAGCATTCAGCACAGTGACTTGACAAATATGTTTATTGTTAAAATCCCAGCATCTAGCGATAAGGATATACCAGCAGCCCTGAGAGATGATGTACAGGAGAACAGCAAATAGAGAATGGGCTCTTGGTCCTTCTAAGGGCTCATAAATCACACACAAGTAATTGAATAACGAGAGTAGTGCCGGTGATGGTGCAGGTAGGAGAGATGGCAAGCAAAGACATTTATACAACCAAAAGTGCAAGCCAGGACACAAACAGGTTGTCTTCAAAACCCACTGCTTCACTAAGGCTTTATCAGAAACCCCATGGATGTTGGAAACCCATTGGTGAATTATTTGGGTAGCTTTACAATGCACTTTTTTTTTTTTTTCTTTTTAATATTGTAGGTTTCCATTTAATTAAGCAGCTGAGGGGCATGAGTGTGGTGTTAGTGCTACTTCCTGTGGTGCTGCTTGTTGTGCTTGCGGGGGCTCAGCGAGCTTGCCCCAAGAACTGCAGATGCGATGGCAAGATTGTGTACTGCGAATCTCACGCGTTCAGAGACATCCCTCAGAATATTTCTGGAGGGTCTCAAGGCTTATCGTTGCGGTACAACAGCATTCAGAAGCTTAAATCGAATCAGTTTGCGGGCCTCAATCAGCTCATATGGCTTTATCTTGACCATAATTACATCAACTCCGTGGATGAGGATGCATTTCAGGGGATCCGCAGGCTGAAGGAATTAATTCTGAGCTCCAACAAAATTACCCATCTGCACAACAAAACGTTTCACCCAGTCCCCAACCTCCGCAACCTGGACCTCTCGTACAACAAGTTGCAGGTGCTGCAGTCTGAGCAGTTCAAAGGCCTTCGTAAGCTCTTGATCTTGCATTTGCGGTCTAACTCGCTGAAATCTGTCCCAATCCGAGTTTTCCAAGACTGCCGTAACCTCGATTTTCTGGATTTGGGCTACAATCGCCTGCGGAGCTTATCCCGAAATGCTTTCGCTGGCCTTTTGAAGTTGACGGAGCTCCATTTGGAGCACAACCAGTTTTCTAAGATCAATTTCGCCCACTTCCCACGCCTCTTCAACCTTCGCTCAATTTACTTGCAGTGGAATAGGATCCGGTCTATCAGCCAAGGGTTAACGTGGACTTGGAGTTCCTTGCACAACTTGGATTTATCAGGAAATGACATTACAGGGATAGAGCCTGGGACGTTCCAGTGCCTCCCCAACCTACAAAAGTTGAACCTGGATTCCAACAAACTCACCAACATCTCTCAGGAGACCATCAATACATGGATCTCACTCATCTCCATCACTCTATCCGGAAATATGTGGGAATGTACTCGAAGCATTTGCCCTCTGTTCACTTGGCTTAAGAATTTCAAGGGAAATAAAGAAACCACTATGATATGTGCAGGCCCTAAACAAATCCAGGGTGAAAAAGTGAGCGATGCTGTGGAGACATACAATATCTGTGCCGAAATCCAGGTGGTGGTTACTGAAAGATCATATCAGGCTCCCAAAACCCCCCAGAGACCTGTCTTTATTCCTAAGCCTACCGTTTCCAAACTTGAAAGCAATCAGCCAACGTCTGTGGTGCCAAGCCCCTCCACTGACCTCCCAACACCTGCAGTGGAACCCGAATACGAGCACGTTTCCTTTCACAAAATCATTGCTGGGAGCGTGGCCCTCTTTCTTTCCGTGGCCATGATTTTGTTGGTTATCTACGTGTCATGGAAGCGCTATCCAGCCAGCATGAAGCAGCTCCAGCAGCACTCACTCATGAAGAGGCGCAGGAAAAAGGCCAGGGAGTCTGAAAGGCAAATGAACTCCCCTTTACAGGAGTATTACGTGGACTACAAGCCAACAAACTCTGAGACCATGGATGTATCTGTTAATGGATCTGGGCCCTGCACGTATACCATCTCTGGCTCCAGGGAATGTGAGGTATGAACCATGATCCTCCTAAAACCATTTCAGCTGCTGGGAAGGAGAGGTAAATGTTTGAAGCTCTTGAGGTGTCTCTAAATGCTAGAAAGATTAATGAGGTTTTTTTTTTTGCTTTGGGGTTTGCTCAGCATGCAAGGTTATCTCATTAAATTGTAGCAATCAGGGAAGTGACAGTGATTATTTTTGAACAAATCAGACTTAAAGTAGAATTAGTGTAAGATGAAGTAAACACCTATGATAAAGGTGCATTATCCCCCTCTCATCTGCACCTATTTAATTATCGGTGGTAGCATGAGGCCCATCTTTCCTGTATTGCTAGAGGCAGAGAAGTTTAAGAACCTTTCTGTTTCAAAAATAAGCATGGAGTCCTCTCTGCTCCAGACCCCATGTCACATCTTTGGGGTTTTCTGATGCGTTTAGTGATAATGCCAAAGCTTTTCTGCATTTTCAGAATGCAGAAAAGGGAGGTAAACCTGGAAACAGCAAGACTGCAGCACAGGTTTGGGTTGAGCATTTACTTGTTTGATAGATAACCAGGAACATCCATGCTTCTTCCTTAGCTTATTGTAGATTTCAGCCTTGCAAAGGCCCCAGCTTAAACATCTGCAAATATCTGAGTTTGAGAGAGGGATTTTCTCTTGGTTTTTCTATTTTAGTGAAAACTTTCAGATGCTTGGTGAAGGTTTAGCTTGAGATACAGCTCCAGTGAAGACAGTAGTTGCATGCATTTAAGGTTGCAGTATAATTTTGATTTAGTAAGTATGTGAGAAATACAAATAAGAAAAGCTGTTGATGTTTCTTTGCTCTGTTGTTAAGCTTCGGCTAGAAAATGCTGTAGTTTTTTGTTGCTGCATTGTCATTGACACTATTTAATATGTATGTAAGAAACGTTTTTACTTGTGAATATAATTGCTTATTTATTCCTGATGAGGAGGATTTCCATGGTTACATTTCGGTACTCGTTACTTAACTTTGTATGTGATTAGGAGGTCATGGTGGATTTTGGTTCCCTGGTTGTGGTTATCCTACCTGAATACACTGTCAGTGTGCCTGCTGACATTCAGTCCTATCTTTTTATGCACGTTGAATAGGCTATGGTAGATTTTGAGCAGTGAGGTAGTCTGAAAGGTGTGTTAAAGTTGAGCAGTGCTCAGCAGGCTGCGATTCTTGGATCCCCATTTTTGAAAATTGGATGTTTTGCACTTTCAGAAAATAGGGCTTCTGTATGATGTCTGGTATTTGGCACCTGAAATCACTATCTGAGTTTGGACCGCAGAACTGAGGGGAAGCAAAAATAGAGATGATTTGGGGTCTGGAGCAGCATTGCCTTCAGAAAGGGAAAAGCACCTATCGTGCCCTTGTCATTTCCACTAGCATTATGTGAATCAATGTGTGCTTTGGCTTCTTCTTTTCTGTTAGCAGTGCAAATAGAAATAAAAAGATGCTAACAAAGTTATTGTGAATTTTCACCAGCTGTCACAAGGAGCATTAATTTCACCTGAAAGGCTCTCTTGTTTTCCTGCTCAAGTTTAACACCACTAAAATGTCATTAGCTTTGGTATGGAGCTGTTTAATTTAAAGATGGTTTGGAGGACAACTGAATCCCTGTGTCATATCCAAAAGTGCACGTAATGAAACCATCGTAAGGAAATTTGGATCGTAATTATAATGCACAAAAGATAAGGGGACACCTGCTGCTGTTTGGGAGGCTGAAATCCAAATAATTTGGATTATGGGAGATAAATAAATAGGTAGAAAGACCTACCAGGTCTGGTAACCGAAGGTCAGTATGGCATAATTTCTTCCTGCTGCTGCTGAGTGTTAGGCACAGCTTTAAACACAAGGGGACCCCAGCTCACCTGGTTTCCAGGTGCTGTTGCAGTGCCATAGCAGTTTGATTCAGCTGCTGCTCAGGTTAAGTTACGCTGGCTCACAAGTTTGCAGAAGTCAGGCTATTTATCCCATTATCTTTGGGATTCCTCGTTGTGGTATAAATCCAGGAAGCCTGTTCTGAATGCAGTAGTGCTGGGACTGGGAGAACATATGCTCTGTATCTGCATGGTATTAATTATGCGTTGGCTATTAGCACAGAGGACTGGAGGAGACAGAAAGCAGCAGATCACTGAAGACACATGTAGCAGCCATAAGCCCCCACTGAAATACTGTCTTCAGCTTGGATTTAACATCCTTCGTCTCCATAGCTACAAGGTTCCACTTGTGAAAGGACACATATTCACTGTGCAGTACTTAGGAATGGTAAGAAAAAAATCCCTGTAGTATCTTCAGCAATGGAAAGGCTTAATGTTGCGGTGAAGGGAGGAAGAAAATGGAATATTTTGTTATCAATTTTTAATTTACCCAGATGCACCAGCTTGTGGGAAAACTATTACTAAAACTATTGCTTTGGACTTTGGACAAGTGAGACAGCTCAGGCTCATCCTCCCACGAGTCTGACTTGCTAATTCATTGGGCTCAGGCAAAGGTTTCCCCCAAAACAGGAACATGTAGAGGGAGAAGAGTACCTGGTTATCAAAATGAAAGCAGAGCAGTTGTCAGCATCAATTACTTAAGGTTCTATCGATTTTACTTCATTAATATTTTTCATATCAATATCTGCTCTCACACGCCAACCCCTACACACCTTGAAGCACCGTGGATGTCTAAAACCTGCATATCTTTCTGCGAAGGGTTAATGGGTTAATTAGTTATGGGTTAATTCTGTGTTAACCTAGAAAAGAATATGCCTGAGTGTATTCCTCTGTTGGAAGCAGGTGATAATGGATGTTCCTGTGTGCAGCCTAGGGCTGTGCTGGACACAGCCATTACTGTCACAGCTCTGAATTTCTTTTTCAAGTATCCAGCTCTTCTCATATGTTGCCACCATCTTTCCATGGCAGAACTGGCTTTGGAGTAGCATGTTTAGGCATTCACACAGGTTCATTTCTTAACAGCAGCTGCACGTGTGAGTAAGTGGTGATGGTGGTTGTTCTGAGTTCAGCAAGATGCCTCGGCTGCACCAAAGCAACATGAGTGTGCGGGAGCTGCCCGTGTTGGGTCATTATCTGCAAGCAGTGGGTGCCAGGGGCAATTTGCAAGGCTGCTTTTAACTCTGTGCTTTATGAATTATTTCTTGTACTACAGAGGCACAGCCAAAGTCAGGCTTGCTGTAAATGGGAGCAACTCTCTTGGCATCAGTGGGATTATAATCACTGACACCTGGCCCATGGTATTCTATTTAGTCTATTGGCAAAGCTTTCTAAAATAACTGGATGCTTATGATTTTGGCTCTCACCATCCAGTTAGCAGACTGCTGCTATCACATTTTGGTATTTGCTTTGTGCTTGTGCTTCTTATTCCCTCTCTCTGTCATGTTTATTTGTACATTTGCTGAAGATCATGGAGCATAAAAAGCAATTTTATAAACCAAGCTAGAATGATGTGTTTCATACATAGCACACAGAATATCCACATACAGCACACTATGTGGGGAGAAGGAACATCACTCCATAAATGTTTCCTCCTTTCTGCTAGGTTTTTCTGTTTCTCAGGCTGGCTGTTACTGAACAATCAACTACCAACCAACCAACCAAGTGAACATCTTTTCCATGTTAGCTGAGTACAGTTGATGTGAAACCCTTTGAGAGGCAATTGACACAGACTCTGCAGTGTTGCTCTTTACACTTTCATGTCTCCATGTCTAACCATACCCCAGAGTTTGACAAACAAGCCCACCTGTTCACATACAAGAATGTCTCTGCTGTGATGCTTCTATGTTTTTCATTGGAGTGAAAACCAGGGCAGTTGTCACTTGCATTCATACTTGCTAAATCAGTTGCGCAAAACTGTGTTTGCTTTGAATTCTGCTTGCTCCCCTCTTGCCAGTGGGAAGAAATAGATTGGTAGAGAAATATAACATATGCAAACATATTGGGCTACTGTTGACCTCTTCATTTTGAGCCTAATTTAAAAGGAAAAGCTGACATGCCACTGTTGATTATCATATATTTATTAAACATCATACTGTGTTGTTTGCAGGAAGATGCAAAAAGGAAAAAAAAAAAAAAGAAAAGAAAAAAAGAAGTCTTCTCTTTCCAGATGCTTGTTAGCCCAAGATTCCAGCTCTGGAAAGGTGGTTCTGTAACTCATTTTGGAAAGGATGTCTAGGATCTAAGCAAGATCTTATGGGACATGGTAGCCTCAGGGGAGAGAAGTCACTCAGTAGTTTGGCAGAGTGGTGGGTTTTGTTTGTCTTTTGTGTGTGCTTTTTTAAGAACAGTGACAATATTCCCTTTGGTCTTATATTCACATAAAGAAAATTTAGCAAGGACCTGACAGCAGAGGCTTAAGTTTTTACGTGATCTGGTGTAATGTAAAAGGAAGGTGATTTTCCAGATAGTGCAATGCAAAGAGAAGAACATGGCAAGTGGGAAGCAGTGATTGTTGGTTCCAAAGCCTACTGCCCTCATTTTAGGAGCTAAGGAGGAGGAGTCCTTAGTCCTCCTAGGAGGAAGTTCCAGTCGTTTTTTTTTTTTCTAATGACTGCATTTAGGAAAGCTGTAGGATGGCCCATGTTAATTGAGCTCTCTCGTATCCTTTGGTGCTTTGGCTCTTCCTCCACCTCTCTGTGATTATCAGTGGACCTTAAGTTCCTGCTTGAAATGCAATGAAACTTTGTCCCAAGCTCTGTTGTAGAAATTAGGCAAAGACTGAAGTAATAGTGGATTTCCGCCCTGCAGTGTCTCTGAAATATGTCAGAAGTGGGTCAGAGGAGAAACCTCTTAGGCACAGGGCCAGTGAGAGGTTTGAGCAGGAGGTAAATTCTGGAAATATCTTCAGGATTAGGTCCAAAGGTAGAAATGTGTGTTTGTTAACATTAGTCTGTGTTAACTCCCGCAGCCTTCCACATACTGCTCTTATTTGTGGTTGCAAGCATAGTGTCAGTATGCTGGAGGTTGTGCTACAGAAGCACTAAGTAATGTAGTCATAACTGCATAGGG